GTCTTAACAAGTCTCTTGTAAATAGGAAAATTATCCAGGTCATTCTCTTGATTTGTTATTTATATACCCTTTTAATTATTGATACATTATGAAAGGAAAAAAGTAACGGCTGCTAAGGCCTCTATATTAAGATAGTAAAGCTTGCTTATAAAATATGTAGCCAAAACCTGAACTATAGCCTTTGAGTAATGTGTTTTTGCAAAACTTGTGGTTTGCACGTATGTCCTCATATTTGATAAACAAGGAACTGGAACTGACTCAGTTACTGTTACGACCCCAAGTGTCATGGGCATGTCATAGGGTTGTCATAAGGAACTGATTTCAGGTATAAAATATCGGAGCTAAGGAGGAGTCGGGGCCAATGGGTCACAAGCGTCATACGCGACTGCTTGTGTGGTTGGCCCTCATTGCAATGGATTATTGAATGTAGGTATTAATTATGTGTTTTAAATTCTAATAAAACCTCTGGATCCTAAAGTGAGACTTTTGTGGTGTGATTGTCTCTTGTTTCTCTTTAACAAGTTTTTCCCCTGACAACATCAACTGGTTTCTCTTGTATGTCCAGTAGACCATCTTTTTCCTTGTTGTTCTTGTAGTTTGTTATTTTTAAATCAACTTTCAAATCAATCTCAGTCATGTCAGGTCAAATTGTTCTTCTTCCATCTTTTAAACACAATCTATCTATAAAATTATATAATTCATCTGGACCCTTAGTATATTTGTAACTTTCTAAAATCAAAATTTTAATCTACTTTCTGTTTATTAAAGAAATCAAATCCTTAAATTTGTATTTAAAACTTCTTTAAATAAGAATTGAAAGAAACTCACACAGTGCTTTAAAACATGTTAGAACATAGAATAACAGGGTTGGGAGGGATCTTGGAGGTCTTCTAGTCCAATCCCCTGCTCAAGCAGGTGACCCTATACCATTCCAGACAAATGGGGGTCCAGTGTCTTCTTGAAAACCTCCAGTGATGGAGCACCCACAACTTCTGAAGATGAAACTGTATTCCAAGTGTTGTCTCACAGGACTGCATTTTTTTTTGGCGGCTGCACCACACTGCTGGCTCATATTTAAGTGGTGGTCTACTAGCACACCTAGATCCCTCTCACATTTGCTAATGTGGAACCATGTATCATCTATTTTATATCTGTATTTGGTTTTTCCTGCCTAAGTGTAGGACCTTACTTTTCTCACCACTAAATTGCATTTTGTTGGTTCAGACCCAGTGTTCAAGTCTGTCATGGTCCTTGATCTACACGTTCTCCTTCACTCACAGCTTGACAAAAAAAGGGAGACGGTTGTGGAATGGAATGCAAAGGTGGGGGCATAATATCTAGGCAACCGAGGCATCTCTGGAAGTTAAAAGGACACCAAGCGTGGCTAGCTGTTTTCTCATAACAAAATGAACAGAAGTGATTGGTGGATATAATGGACTGTGTGGCTTGAAAGAAAAGGGGGAAATAACTATGTTTGCATTTGCACAGGAAATCCAGAACTGGTTTCGCTTCTTCTGTGCCAATGTAGTTTTTCAATAAAGTATTATACTCTTGATAAAAATATGTCCCAGGAGTTTCTTTTCCTAGAAATGCCAACTGGACAGTTGACAGAGTCTATCATTTAAAGTATTAGCTATTCCCACAGATTGGTGTAGTTGCAAATCTGATGAGTTCTCCTCGTCTGGATCATTTATGATAGCAGTCCACAACCTTTGTGGCTTGGCAGCTGGACTGGGTGGGAAAGAGGGGAACTGGGCCATGTGAGCAGCAGACTGGCCCAATTCCAAATAGGCCATGGTCTGGTAGTGGGTCGTGGCCCAGGGGTTGGGAACCCCTGATTTATGATGTTGAAGAGCACTGTGCCCAAAACAGAATCCTGAGTTACCCCACTGCATGCTTCCCTCCACAAGATGTGGTACCATTGTAGTTGTACCAAGTCTGGTTAGTCAGCTAGTTGCAAATCCATCTGGTGGTGGTACTATCCCACATTATTTGATCCTGCTGATAAACCCTTGGAGGAAGACAAATAGAGGTATGTCACACATAGAAGGAAACACAATAATCAAACAAAAAAGCAACATACATCTAACAAACCCCTACTGCCCAATCTAACCCAACCAGAAGCAGCCCCATTAAACTGAGCAATCAATTTCTCCCCCTAGATGGAAATACGCAGATTCACAACCTTCACCCCAAAGAAAACATGCGGACACCTAGCAAAGAAACATCACCAAATATCCCTTAAAAAGTCACATCAACAAACACACCTGCAATAAACAGAAAAGCACCCCAGACTGCAGTCCCCCCAAAAAGCAAGGCGAGTGTTGGTAATAGGAGATTATATCCTCAAAGTAACAGAATTAGTCATCTGCAGACCAGACATACAATTCTAGGGAGATATGTTGTCTCCCTGGAGTGAAAATCAAAGATGTGGCTGAGAACCTAAGCAAAATAATTAGGCCCACAGATTACTACCCTTTCCTCCTCCTTCACATTGATACAACAAAAAACCTGAGTACAATATTGAGAGATTATAAGCAACTAGGCCAGAGGTAGGCAACCTTGGCCCTTTTATGACTCGTGGACTTCAACTCCCAGAATTCATGAGCCAGCATGGCTGGCTCAGGAATTCTGGGAGTTGAAGTCCACGAGTCATAAAAGAGCCAAGGTTGCCTACCCCTGAACTAGGCAATAAAATTAAGAAGCTAGGAGCACAAGTAGTGTTCTCATCAGTACTCCCAATGAAAGTGTCATGGTTCCAATAGATGAAACCCCTTAAAATAACTTCAAGGCAAAATTCTTCCTCAAAGAACATTTTATTCAGGAAACAAAGTATCGGCACTACATAGTTGAACCCAAAAACTAAATTCCCTTCCCCCAGATACAAAGTAACAAAGTGCAATTCCCACCCCCAATAAGCTGTCATAAATCACATTCTCCAATTAGCCTAAAATGCGGGCCTTCTCCCCAGCTCCTCAGCCCGCCAAAATGTTATCAGCTCGTCCTTGGGTTCCCACAAAGCAGAGTTATTATTATTATGACTAGCTGAGCTTGAGCTTTCATCCCAACCCCCCCTTCACCTGATTTCTAAATACAAGAAAAAACATGTTAAAAGAAAAGAGAAAATGGCTGCATTTTCATCAGTTGTCAGAGCGGGAACATCCAATGTTTGCAGCGTTGACATCCGGCCCCCCTTACAAAAAGGATAAATCCTGCAATTCAAACAAAATCGTAGGTTAGGGGTTGCCCCTTGGTTTATTAGGGTGCTTTTCATAGAATTTACTAATGAGCCTGTTAGCTTTTATATCACTAGATTTTACCCATGTGGCTTCAGATAATGGATACCCTTTCCACTGCACTAAGTACCGGAGCTTTCCCTTAAAAAGTCTAGAATCAAGAATATGCTTCACTTCATAATGAGTCTGTCCAGCTACCACTAGAGGGCCAGGTGCCTTCTTAGGGGGAGGTCGTAAGGTAGAACTCCTAAAAGGTTTCAGTGGGCTACAATGGAACACAGGGTGGACTTTCCCTAAGAGTCTGGGAAGTTTTAACTCCACCATGACTGGGTTAATGATTCTTACAATGGGGAAGGGACCTAAGTACTTTGGTCCCAACTTCTTACTAGGCAATTTAAGTCATAAATATTTTGTGGATAAGTAAACTTTTTCCCCAACCTGGAATGATCTTTGGGGAGCCCTCTTTTTATCTGCTTGTTTTTTATATGTGTCAGAAACCTTTTTCAGAGCGATTTTCGTTTTGTCCCAACCTCTTCCTACCCCCTTACCCACTGGTCAAGCATTTGGGAAGCAGAAGGTCCCTGAGGATATTCGGGTATTGGGTTGAACTCTTTTCCTGTGGCAACTTTAAAAGATGTAAAACCAGTGCTGCTGTGAACAGAGTTATTGTAAGCCACCTCTGCGAAAGGGAGGAGGTCAGTCCAGTTCGTTTGCTGATAATCCACATAGCATCTGAGGTACTGCTCCACCACTGAGTTCGCTTTTTCAGCCGCCCCATTTGTAGACGGGTGAAAAGCCGACGACAGTCCTTGCAACGAACCAATTAACTTGAGGAAACCCCTCCAGAACTTGGCTGTAAACTATACCCCTCGGTCTGAGACTATTCACTTTGGTGGGCGGTACAGCCTGTAAATGTGCTTCAGAAACATCTTGGTTAGTCTCTGGGCTGATGGGAGTCCTTTGCAGGCAATGAAGTGAGCCTGCTTTGAAAATAGATCTATCACAGTCCAAATCACCATATTCCCCCTACTTTCAGGTAGTTCCACTATAAAATCCATAGCAATTTCTTCCCATAGCTGGGAAGGGTCCGCAACCAGTTGTAATAGTCCAGGGTTTTTTCCCAAAATTTTTTTCATGGTGGTGCATACAGCACAGCTCTTGACATAGTTCTCTACGTCCTGTTTCAAACCTGGCCACCAAAATTGTCGACGAACCAGGTGCAGCGTTTTTAAATAGCCAAAGTGCTCAGCTTGTTTCACATTGTGACCGGGCTTGAGAGCGTTGAGGCAGAGGGTTTCGGGCAAATACAATTTCCCCCCTTTGTAAGCCAATCTGTCCCTGCACATCAAGGAGGTTTGATTGTCTTTGAACCATTGATTGTTGAGGAGATCCTGTTTTAATTTTCTCATCCGAGGGTCATCAAGATTTGGGACTCTAGAAAGTGGGGCCCTTTGTGGTGTTAGTTGAGTAGCAGTTTGCGGTGTAGATATGATTGCTTCATTAACCTCTTCACGCTGGCTCTTGTATTGAGGCAATCTGGATAAAGCGTCAGCTAAAAAGTCCCCCCCCCATATGTACTTTAGAGTGAAGTTAAATCGGTTAAAATATTGCGCCCACTGTACTTGCTTCGGGGACAGCTTGCGGGGACTTTTCAGTGCCTCTACGTTTTTGTGATCAGTCCATACTTCAAAAGGCACCTTGTTCTCTTCCAGGTAGTGCCACCAGTTTAATAGAGCCAAGGCTTCCTTCTCCCACACTGCCCACCTTCTCTTGCAGTCGGTGAACTTTTTCGAGGTGTAGGCACAGAGTTGTAGGACCCCCTCACAGTTCTTTTGCAATAGTACAGCTCCAATAGCCATGTCGCTGGCATCGGCTTGAATCATAAAGGGTTTCCCTGGGCAGGGATGCTTTAGGATAAGCTCGACCACAAATAGTCTTTTCAGGTTTTCGAAAGCAGTTTGACAGTTCCTAGTCCATATTAGCGGCTGGCCTGGCTACGGCTTTCCCCTATCTTTGCCAGTTTTTAACAAGTCCGTGAAGGATAAAGCAATTTCAGCAAAATGAGGGGATGAATTATTGGTAAAAGTTGGCGAACCACAGAAAGCTTTGAAGCTGCTTTCGAGTCTTTGGGGGTTGCCATTCGATTACGGCTCTCACTTTGCCAGGATCCATTTCAATGCTCTCACTGGAAATTCTGTAGCCTAGATAATCCAGTCGGGTCTGATGGAATTCACACTTCGATAGTTTAACATATAGTTTAGCATTCAACAATTTCTTTAACACTTCTCACACTAGCTTCACGTGGTCAGCCATATTTGTGCTATATATCAGGATATCATCAAGATACACCAAAAACCCCTTGTACAAATGATCGTGTAGCACCTGGTTGATCAGCTACATGAAGACAGCTGGAGCCCCCTGTAGTCCAAATGGCATAACTTTGAATTGATAGCTCCCCATGGGACAGTTAAAAGCAGTCTTCCATTCATCCCCTTTTCTTATTCTTACTTGGTAATATGCCTCTCTTAGGTCCAATTTAGTGAAGATGCTCCCCTTTGCTAGGAGGGTTAGTAGGTCCTTCAGGAGGGGAAGGGGGTACTTGTCCTCTATGTCAGGGCTTTTCAACCGGTGGTACGCATACCACTTGTGGTACATTAATGAGTAGCAGGTGGTACGCAGCCCTGCCTAGCCAAGTGTAGTGGGGGAGGGAAATCGCCAGCACAGGCAAGGACTTACAGTGAGGGAGTCCTCTGGAGCTGCAAAGGCCCCAGGCTCACTTCTGGCTCACCATGAGAAAGGAGGAGGGGGTGGTGACAGGAGAGCCTATAAAAGGAGGCAGTTTGGGCAGGAGAGGGAGAGAGAGAAAAAGCAGCAGCTTTGGGAGGAGGCAGAGTCAGCTGCACTGAAGGGGAAGAAGAAGGAGGGGGAGGGGAGAAGAGATCAAGCAGGCTGGCCATGAGCCGATCTACAACTGCTGTGGCAGCCACCTGTGCTGGCAGCAGCAAACAGGCAAGAAATGCAGTGGGGTAAGGGTCGCCCTCCAAGAGGAATGAAAAAAGGCAGCAATGGCTGGAGGTGAGGCATGGAGGAGGGAAGGAGATGGAGAGTGGAAGGATTCTTATGTGCTTTTGTGACTTTGAAGTTCTGGGATTTGTGCAATGAGGGCTTTGTGTTCTTAAGGAGTGTTTGGCAATTTCTATTTGGCTGATGGCTGATGTCTCGTGTTAGCTTCTATTGCTCTGCTGTTGTTAGCTGTAAGTTTTGATGCAAGGGATTTTGAAGTATTTTTCTCCTGAATGGATTTTGCCTGTAGCATTCCTTTACGTATGAATGGAGCCATTTGGGGAGGTTGCCTTAGCTGGCAGCTAGTACTTACTTTTTTTTTTTCTTAAGTGCCGGCTGCGCTCCTTACTTTCCTTTCTAGCCAGTAGCTAATTCTTAAAGGGGAATGTGCCTTTTTAAGCTAGTTCACTCAGCAGCTTGTCTTTTCTGTCTCTGGAGGCCATTCCTTGTTTGATCAATATATGGAAGAGGGAAAATATGGGGGGGGGGGTTTCAAATTCTTCCTTCAGAAGGAGAGGGGAATGAGAAAAAGGGATGCAGGGAAGGGAGGGAGGAAAGGAAATCCCGCCTTAGCACTTGGCCACCAGCAGCTCTGCCATTGACTTTGCTTGTCAAAAGGTTGCAGAAGGGGATCACATGACCCTGGAACACTGTGACCATTATAAATATGAATCAGTTGCCAAGCATCCAAATATAAATCACATGACCCTGGGCATGCTGCAATGGTCATAAGTGTGAAAAATGGTCATAAGTCATTTCAG